TGCAGGAGGCGGCGCGCAGGGTGGGTGGTGGTGGGCCCCGCGCCCGCGCCGCCGCCGCCGCCGCCGGCCGCCGCCGCGCGCGCCTCGCGCGGCACGCTTGCCGGCCTGCTTTCCTCCCCATTTCTTTCATGCCTTCCTAGCTCCACGCGCCTGCTGGCCTGCTAACCCCCCACCCACCCACCCGCATGCCCTCGCCCTCCACGCGCCCGCCGCCTGCCGCCCCGCCGCGCAGGGCGGCCGCAGCGCGGAGCGCCTGGCCGACCAGTTGCTGGCGGTGAACGAAAACGCGTTTGTGCACGGTGCCTCGGCGAGCAGCCTGTACGGCGGCCGGGCCAACGCCGACGACTGGACAGTACGGACCGCTGCTGCTGCTGCTGAGGAGGAGGAGGAGGAGGAGGGCGAGGGTGGCCGGGCCGGCGGCGGCGGCGGCGCGCAGGACGAGGAGGAGGAGGGCGGGCCCGGGGAGGGCGGCGGCGGCGGCGGCGGCGGGCCGGAGATCGACGTGGCGCCAGCTGGCAGGCTGCCCTTCCAGGAGGCCTCCCTGCAGGTGCTGTCGGCGGCGGACCCGGTGCTCGCCGCCTCCCCCCACGGCGAGGCCGAGGGGCAGCCCATTGCCGGGCTGGACCTGGGGACTCTGGAGGCATACCTGGGGGTGCCCGGCGCGGCAGTCGTCAAGCCCGCGGTGTCGACGCCCACCGCCGCGGCGGCGGGCGCGGCGGCCGCTGTGATGGCCGGCCTCGGCGGCGGCGGCGGCGGCGGCGGCGGCGGCGGCGGCGGCGGCATCAGCCGCATGGACACGGGGCTGTCGGAGCTGAGCTACCCTCTGGAGCTGGAGCTGGGGGCAGGGGCGGCGGGCGGCGGGCGCGGCGGGTACGAGGGCGTCGGCGAGGGCGTCGGCGGCGCGGGTCGCGACTTCACCGCGGCGCAGGCGGCCGCCAGGGCCGCCTTCCGGCGCGACACCGCGGGTGGGTGACGCTGGCTGGCTGGCTGGCTGGCTGGCTGGCTGGGGGCAGGGAGCGGGCAGGGGCGCTGCGCTGCTGCACGCCTCGCCTCTGTCGCCGGCCCAGGCTGCCGCCGCCGCCTCATCATCGCAAGCTCCCACCCGTGCCTTCCTGCTTTCCTCTATCCCCTCCCTACACACTACGCACACGCCACCCGCGCCCACCCTCACACACACACACGCACACTCACACCACACACACACACACACATATGCCTGCCCGCAGACGACGAGGACGATTTCTTTTCCAGTGACGACGAGTCTGCCCCCACAGAGGAGGCGGACAGCCGGTCGGCGGCCAGCGTGACCACCAGCGGCGCCCCCGGCGGCGGCGGCTCCCAGCGCTTCCGCGTCTCCATCCGCCCGGCCGAGGAGGCGGCGCCGGTGGCGGCGCGAGGCAGCGGCGACCTGCGCGCCGCGGCGCTGGTGCGTGGCCGGCCGGCGGGGCCGCTCGCTCGCCTGCTGCTTCCTCCCTGTTGTGTGCAGCTGCAGGCCTGCCTGCCCGGGTGGGTGGGTGGGCCCTGGGCCCCTGGTCACCAGCCCTGCTGCTGCCGACACGCGTGCCCGCCTGCCCTGCGCTGGCTGCAGAGCCTGCGGCTGGGCGGTGCCAGCAGCCTGGGGGGCAGCACAGACAGCACCCCCTTCCCCACCTCACGCTCCGCATCCAGCCTGGTGAGAGGGCCCCACCCCCCCGCCCCCCCGCCACACTGCTTGTGCCCTCGCCAGCTCTGCAGGCCAGCCAGTGGGCCGGCCCAGGCAGGCAGGCAGGCAGGCATTGCGAGTGCGGGGTTGCGAGCCAGCCGGCGGCACCTCATGCGCCGGCTGTGTGTGCCTGGGCTGCCCTTCACCACCCCCTGCTCCTGTGGTGCTTTGCCCGGCCGTGCAGGGCGGCGCCAAGCTCGGCACGCTGCCGCCCCCGCCAGGCGCCTCGCCCGTCAAGCCCAGCGGCAGCGCCGGCAGCGGGCTGGACCAGGCTGCAGCGGCCGCGGCGGCGGCATCCGTGGCGGCGGCGCCGGTCGCCAGCGACGACCCTTTTGCAGACCTGTTTGGCCTGGGCACGCCTGGCGGCGCCAAGGCCCCGCCGCCGCCGCCCGCCGCCGCGGCGGCGGCGGCGGCCACGGGCCCCATGCGGCCCCAGCCCGCGGCGCAGCAGTCGCTGCTGTCTGGATGGGACGACTTTGAGGCACTGTTTGCTGCTGAGCCCGGTGCCGCGGGCGGCCAGCAGCAGGCAGCGGCGGCCGGGGCTGACCCCTTTGGTCCCGTCTCCTTCCCGCCGCCCCCGGCACCAGCCTCTGCCAGCCCTCCCAAGCCTGCGCCTGCGGCCGGCAGCCCCCCCAAGCCTGCGGCAGGCAAGCCAGCCAAGGCGGCCGCCCCCGCCACGGCCGGCGGCGGGGTGAAGAAGTCTGGGTCGTTGGCTGAGCTGGCGCCCGCTGGCGCCAGCAAGGCGGTTGACGAGGGGCTGGCGGCGTTCCAGGCGGGGCGCTGGGACGCCGCCGCCTCCCAGTTTGGCAGCGCCGTCGATCAGGCGGGCGGGGCGGGCCCCGCCTTCACGCAGCAGGCGCTGCAGCTGTTTGTGGCGGCGCGCCTGCTGGCGGC